TGTGTGTGTGTGTGTGTGTGTGTGTGTGTGTGCGTGTGTGTACCGCCTGGAAGCAGGATCTGCAGCAAGAGGTGAACGTGGAGGACAAAGATGAGAACATGAAAACCCTTGTAGTTCTTCTAGTCTGTGTAAGTGTGATGAGGTCTTTCCTGGACTCTACCGAGGCTGAGGGATATTGACATTTAAGCCAGAGGGATGAGGTGGAGGAGAAGGACGATGTGGAGGAGAAGGATCGGATAAAGAAAAAAGACATGGAAAAGTAGGAACCAATACATGAAAACCCTCGTAGTCTTCCTAACCCCTGTGAAAGTGCGATGATGGCCTTTCCCGCACTATCCAGGTGGCTGAGCGATACTGGCATCCCAGGCAGAAGGATGAAGGGGAGGAGACGGATGATGCGGAGGAGCTGAAATGGAGAAGGATGGCATAGAGAAAAAGGACATGGAGGAGGAGGCGAAAGATGAGGGAGGGGGGACAATGGCAAACAAAACAGAGAGCAAAAATGGGAATCAATAAAGAGAAAGATAAACGGAGAGGAGGGTGACATGAAGGAGGACAAGAGAAGAAACACGTGCAGGAGGAAGACATTGAGAGAGAAAAACAGGGAGGAAGGAATGTGATGAAGCCACATAGAAAGAGAAAACAAGAATTAATCAAGAGAACCGATTGAAGCCACCATAGCCGGGACGGGACGCCTCTCTTCCCATCCCGTTACTGCCGGCGGTAACGTCATATTCCTCCCCCTCCCCCTCCCCCTCATCCTCCTCAGTTCACCTGCTGCTAGAAAACCAAAACGGGCTCTCCGCCTGTTGTATTTCCCTCTCTCTCTCTCTCTCTCTCTCTCTCTCTCTCTCTCTCTCTCTCTCTCTCTCTCTCTCTCTCTCTCTCTCTTCTCTTCGTGTCTGCGTGTGTGTGACACAAACACAAATCAACAAAACTTGGCATAAGCTGGTCGTCTGGACTGAAGCAATAAGGGAGATCGAAAGAAATGCCACGCAAGCAGAGCGCGGGGGGAGTATGCAGCGACGGGAGCTGAAGAAGCTGGAGCTTAGGTCGCCATGGGGAAGAGAGATGGGTAAAGCAGGTGCAGACGGATATTGCGACAGGAGGTCCAAAGATGTAAAATCGAGGGCGAGAGAGGGAGGAGGAGAAAGGATAAGATCACGGCTTACCTCTTTCGCACCGAGCTGTTCATCGCTCCTCGCAATGACGAAGAGCAAAAAGAACCCGGAGCTTAGGTCGCCATGGGGAAGAGAGATGGGTTAAGCAGGTACAGACGGATATCGCGACAGGATGTCGAAAGATGGAGAAGCGATGGCTGAAGAGGAAGGAGGGAGGAGGGGGAGGAGAAAGGATAAGATCGCGGCTTACCTCTTTCTCGCGGAGCTGTTCACCGCTCCTTCACCGAGAAAAAGAACGATCCACTCTTGGCGCCTTCCAACATCAATTGACAGCAGCAGACTGCTCTCTCTCTCTCTCTCTCTCTCTCTCTCACACACACACACACACACACACGCACGCACGAATGCACAAACGCACCCACGCACGCATGCACCACCACGGGCAGACGCACACACGGCGGTAGGACCTATCGGTAGGCCTATTCGAGTTCCATCGTGGCCGTTGCCCCAGCACTACCGCCCCGACGGCCTAGATTGCCGCGCGGTAATCAGGTCGATGGCCTCACGCGTCACACGTGGCCGTTGGCCCAGCGCTACCGCCCCGACGGCCTAGATTGAGGATCATTGGATTCCTATTTTGACGGGATGGCACCGCTTCTTACGTTGGTAGGAAGTATAAGGGTAAACAGTACGGGACCATGGAACAGTTGATCTTCTTGATGGTTCCTGTTGTGGGACACACTGGTTATGGTAGAATTCAGACGCGACCGTGAGTGGACGGTTATATGGTATTGAGACTCGGTTGGTCCCACACGAAATCAGTGGAAAATGCTGGCCTGCGGGTTACAGTCCCGGGGCATATTGTGAGGTCCTATTTTCTGTTGATCTTCGAAGTCTTTTGTGGGATCTAGCTTTTTTGAAGTCAGCCCTGCGCGTGTCAGTCCCAGGGTCTGCTGCAGGAGAAGGTACTTTTTTGGTAGAAGGCGGCGGTTCTATTCTCGGTCGACAATGGTTGTCGACAGTAGATGGTCTGGTCTTTGCTCACTGGTTGTTGCGGTGACTGTTTGGTACACAGGGTATAAATTAGCGTAGTCTATTAGCTTAGACACCTCACGACCGACCAAGACCCCTGATGAGTTGCCGGTGGCAGCCGGCCGAAACTTGTCGGGTCCTTACCGCCTGTGTTTCATTGTTACATCTTTAGTGTCGCGTTCGGGAAATGCTTTTTTATCCTGGTGTATCTACCCTATTTCTGGTCTTCTTCCACCGGCCCGTTCGGCGCAGCGTTGAAGACGCTGGCCGAGCAGCCGGTTAAAATGATTAGCGAAGTACCCCTATGGGAGGAAGTGAAGGAGAAGGAAGGGAAGAAGCCAGTGCACATGAAGGAAGATGCGCCGAGAGGAAATGGGGAGGGATACCGTGTAAAGGGACTCGATACTGGGGCCTGGAGCGTGCACACGACGGAACAGCGGGCAGAGACGGAGGAGGCAGGTACAGTGTAGTATGTTAGGAGGGGGGAGAAAGGGCCCGAGGGAACCGGGTTGTAAACTAGATAGGTGAAGGGGGTTACTGAATACTGGGTACACTAGATGTATAGGCTGTACACTAGTTAGCAAGGGAGGGTTCCCAATTTGGGCCATGGACTGGTTGTACAGTAGGATCTATTGAGAAGAGGCAGGGTCTAGTAATAGCAGTGGCCGCAGGTAGTTGCAGCCTGTAGCAGTAGAAAGGTGAGGTGGAGGCACGGGAAAGGGAAGTAGGCCAGCTAGGCGAGAGCCAGCGTGTGTGGGGGTTGATAGGGTCGACACGGGGGACCGGCAGTCGGAGTCGGTTAATGGGAGGGCCGTATCGGACTGGCTAGTACCTAATGGGCCATACTGACCAGGTACAGAGGAAGACTAAGGCCCGGGAGGGCGGACTACGCAACGTAAGTCCCTACCGCCGACCGGTGTACGTGCAGTACGAGAATTTTATGCACACAGGGCGCACACGTGAGGTAGGCGGGAAGAAGGGACGTGCGTATGTGCACGCCGAGTCAGTTGCGAGCGAGCTAGTTCGCGACCCAACCAGTCAGTTACAGGAGTTCTCCAGTATTTCTCAGGAGGACAAGGCCAGGAAGGTCCTCTTTTCTCAGGGCGGGTTGCTTCGGTGGATGCGGGAGTGCGGTTGGCCCTTGATAAGTCTTGGTGCGCAGCCAGGCGAAACACGTCGGGGAATGTGCGCGTTGAGCAGACAGTACATTTAGGTGCTTCATGGACATCATCGAGACATGGACGCATAGCGATTGGCCTCGCTATTTCAGTTCTTGGATGCGCAACAACCAGACGAGAGGTCGTACTCGTTTTTTGTGGTTACGCCTACAACAGACGCACGAGTAAATTGACACGTTGGTTCATGAGTGAAGAGTGTTGGAGATGAGAGTGGAAGTGTGACGAGGTGAAGGAATCGGTGAGGGTTAAGGAGGGAAAGGAAGGGATGGTGATAGAGTAGGGAGAAAAAGGAGAGAGGGAACGCAGGTAAAGGAGGAGGAAGAGGAGCAGATGTGGCGAGGAGAGAGGTGGTCGAAAGGGGGTAGGTTCTAAAATGGTAGCGGGGTAGTTTTTTGAAAAGTAGCGGTGGTGAGAGGGAGGAGTGGTGATGAGCCTGTAAGTTGAGAACTAGCAGGAGCGGTGACCGTTGGGCAGAGAGTTGGAGTAGCGGATAGACTGAGTGATGACTCGAAGAGAAGCTTAAAGAGCCAAGTTGTCGAGTGTACGCGGTACGTGAGAAAGGGAGGTGGTTCGGTGTAATCACGGACGGTAATGTTGAGCGGTTGAAGGGCGAGCGGATGACGGAGGAGTACGACGAACAGATAAGCTGAGGTGATGAAGTCCTAGCGGACGAGCAGCTGTCATGTGAGGCGGTTGAGATAAGGGAAGTGTGGCCAACAAAATTTTTTGCGAAGACTGGACGACGAGTTTCTACCTCCAAGGTGGGGCGAGAGCTGTGGTGACTGATGTTCGAAGTGTTGATCAGTCCGTAGAGTAAGGTAGTTAAAGAGAAGAAGAAGAAGAAATGGCTAAGTTATGCCTTTTGTGAAGTTGGGAAAGGAGTGACTTTCCGCTTCTGTTGTGGTTACGTAAGGATCAACGTCGCAGAGTGAAAGGGCATATGCTTCGCCCAGCTGCAGACTGGTACTCTCGACGAATGAGTGTCGGGTAGGGCCGCGCGAACTCCAGGTACGATACCTTGGCTGATTAGTTAACC